GACAAGTGACTTCGCACTAATTTGTTCCACCCTCTCCTTCATTCAAGGACAAATCCTTCCATTTCCTCTCATGCTCTTCATGAGAGTGCAGTGCACTGTAGTCTAGATTCTTGACTCCACAAGAAGATTGTTTTTAGAGTTTCCGATAAAAATTATATATATATATATATATATATATATATATATATGTATAATTTAATAGAAGTATGTCGAATGGTAAATATGTTTCTATATCACCGTATACCCTTTGTGAAATATTGCTGATTAATAAAGGGAGAAATTTGGTTTTACATATGTTTATTATATAGTTAGAAATAATCTAGTTATGTGATTAAATTAATAATTGTATTATATAAACTTTTATATTACCTAATGTATAGTAAAATGTATCTTAATATTTATAATAAATTATAGTATTATTTTTTTCAGTATCATTAAAAGATGTTATTGAATTAATAGTCTTGCAATATATTCATTTAAAGGTACACAAGTTTTTCCAAACCATGTCTTCACCCAAACACACTTTCTTATAATTATGATTTATCAAATTCATATCATCCATCAAATTAAAGTAAATTCAAAATTAAAAAAGAAAATATTTTGTGTGTGTGAAACATTTTTGGTTTACTTTGACCTTCCTGCAAAAACAGTAATATTGTGATTTTGATTTATACTGTTATTGTGATTATAAAATTACTTAGGCCATTAGGCAACACAACTGGGCAAGTGATCCAAGTTGGTAAAAGTAAGGCTGCAGGTTAAAGTCTCTTAGCACTGTCATTACCAGTTTATTCCAAGGATACTGTCTCTCTAATAAGTGTGCTTTGGATAAAGGCATCAGCTGCATGTTAAATTCTGTGTTTCTTCAGCTGAAGGAAAGGGCAGGAGATGCTGCAGCAGCGACGGTAAAGCCTGAAGTTCTGGAGCAGCTCGGGGAAGCCATTTTTCTCGCTGAGGAGGCATATCCAGGGATCTCAGATGTCATGGTCACCCAACTTATTCAAAGGCTACAACGGTAAGGACTGCATGATGCAGTACTGATCAAGCCTCATGTAGCTCTTTTCTGGCACAGTTCTCCCCTAAATGAAAACTCTCATCACTGAACTGTGCTCAACCTGGTTGAATTAGAAAGTGACTCACATTTCCCCAAAATTGTTTTTGTTTTAGACTTTCCAGTTGGAATAATTTAGCTATAATTACAAATCACAATGACGTGTGACTACTCTAGAGGAAAAGCAACCAATTTTAACCTAAATTTCATTAACAAATAGAATTTGAAGTAGGGCTGCCACTAATGACTAGTTTTATTTCGATTAATCTATCGACTAATTTATCGATTAATCTAAACGATTAATTTCCCACCCAAAAAAATCTACAATTTTACTTAGGAATATTTTATTAAAGTACATTTCATTAAACCAAATGAAATCCAAAAGTAAAAAAGTAAAGTGCAACATAAAGTGCAAGAAGCAAGTGTCCATCTCATATTCCAAATCACTGAAATAAAAGTTCAGTATTATAGTGTAAGAATGACAACATATCCACGTGTTCAAGTCTACTAATAATAAAATTATAATCAAAAAACACTTTTTAAAGGAGTATTTACCAGAAATATTATTTACCAGAATTTATTTAGGAGAAAAATGTAAACGTGCAGTATTTCTGGAAAAAAAAATTATTATAATTTTTTTAATAAAATCAATTAATTGGAGATGCTTTTGATTATTAAAATTTAGTGGAACCATTAAAATGGAATCCAGAAAATAATGGAAAACAGAAATTGGTATAGATAAAACCATAAAACTCAATTAATTAGACAGGCTTTTTGATTAATAACATTTAATTTAACCATTAAAACAGAGTATAGAAAAATGAAAATGGAAAAAACTGAATTTGTAAATAAAACTGATTTCATAGTGCCCTATAATTATAATGAATTTTTTTGTGGTAATAAAAATAGATGTAAGTGAACAATAACCTTTAAAATTACTTAAAATACATACTGTATATAATAGAAATGAGGCAATAATAATTAGTTCAAATAAAGTATCAAAAGCAAGAAATCATATGGTTTTATTGAACAAAATTGTTTAAATACATAATGTATTATAAACAATAGAGCTAATGTACATTACACATTACATCAAAGGCCTGCAGAGGGCGCCAACGGCCTGACGATTGTTTTTACACATTGCTGTGCGATCTAATACTTGTTTAATATTGACCAAGCACCATTTCATTCAAATGTCCACTTAATCTTTAATATTTGGCCATTTCTTTAGAACAGAAATGCTATAGCCACTGTAATTAAATGAATATGTGGACATCAAAACGTGTAAACTCACAGTGAGGCTTTGAGCTTTTATTTTAAAAACCGCGATGTATTCTCCTGAGTTTGAGTAGATTTATTAATGATTTACCTTACAAATCTGATGAAATGGCACATGTTGTGTTCCCAGATATACGTTATAATAAACCCAAACTCACAACAACATGCAGAGATGGCGTTTGAGACGCTCCACACATGTAAATGATAACAGTACCTGTGGAACTACTGTGAACGGAGCCGCTGTGTGACGTGTGTACACGCATGTAAATAATTAAAGCGCATATAGGCTACTGTATTAGAACTGCATCGCATATAATTATTTAATTAAATCGTAGCGTTTGTGAATTCACAATTATGCTTAATTATGATTTTTAAATGGGTTTAATGTATCATGAAGCCTTGGAAAACAGACTAATAATGTGTTTTATACATTCTCGTCTGTGAAATGCGCCACTTCTGGTTTTTTGCCGGTTAGTCGACGCGAGCAAAATGAAGTCGAGGATTTAAAAAAATCGAATAGGCGAATAAAATCGACGAATTGCGACAGCCCTAATTTGAAGTGAGGGTTAATATGAAACATTCAGAGGGAAAGTACACTACCATTCAAAATATTTTTTAAATCTTTTTTTATACATTTTTTTCATGTTTTTGAAAGACGTTTCTTATGCTCAGCAAATATTATTACAATTTAAAACTTCTATTTTATTATATATATTTTAAGTGTAATTTATTCCTTTGATGGCAAAGCTACATTTTCAGCTGCCATTACTCCAGTCTTCAGTGTCACATGATTTTTGTTATCAGTGCCGAAAACAGCTGCTTTAATAGTTTTATGGAAACCATGATACATTTTCAGGATTCCTTGTTGAATTGAACATTCATATTGATTGATTCATATCAATCTTTTGTTGTAAAAAAAGAAAAGAAAAAAGACTGTCACTTTTGATCAATTTAGTGCATCCTTGCTGAATAAAACGATTTATTAAAAATACCCTGACCTTTGATATTTTGTATTTTGGGTTGTGTTCAGCAACATATGAGTGCTTTTTACATTACTTTGATGTAATGGTCAGAAATGATTTCTCTATAAGAAAGAAAACATCTACTGGTCAACTAGTAAGCTTCCTTCATGCACAGATTCCTCAGCTTTCATTTTCTTCCATGCAGGTTCTCTAGAGGAAGAACATCATCCTCATCGCACCAGTGATTATTCCATTAGCCTGTCCGTCTCTCATCAGTCCCGCCCCCCGGCATCAGCTCAGCGAATCCTGACACCAGCAGACTCTGTGACGTCTACCCTGGAGGACCAACAGTCCTTCACTAGCTTATCAAGAGAACTTCTCAAACTCCTCAAGCTTCCCCTAGTTTCACTTTTCTTTTATAATCTCCTGGAACACTCTTTGGCGTGTATGTGCGTGCGTGCGAGCGCTTGTGTGTATGCGTAAAATAGTGCGTTTGTAATGGAGACTGCTTAAGCAATGGACAAAACGTAGATGTAACTCCTTTGGCTAAGCACAGAGTGAGATGGAGGCAGGTTGTTTTTGCATTATCGTACCCGAGCTTTTGGAAAAATGCATTAAGTGAATGCCATCACAGGGCGAGGAGACCGGCCCGTCGCCGCCACCTCCACCCTAAACAAAATACAAGATTGTGTGCATGACTCTGAACAAAATGCATGTGTGAAGACGGATGTCTGTCGGAGTGTGTGCGCATCCGAGCCCTGGTGAAGGAGATTGCAGTTCTCACGCTGAAATCTCAGGTAGTCTGCGATGAGCAGACCAGTCATCCAGGAAGACAGAGGGCGCTATGTTTGGATTTGTGTACAGATCTGTGTATATAGTCTCAATTTTACAGACCTTTAAAAGAGATGATGGATTTTTGCAAATGAATCACTGTGTACAGATGGCCAAGAGCTTCTGTAGATATTGTTAGAAACAAAACAAAGGTAAATATTTAAAAAATCAAGCCTCTGAAATGGCCATTACTGAAATGCCTTGCCTTTTTATCAAATGTACATTTTTGGGGGGTGCTCTGTTAATTTTAATAAGAAATTAAAAGGTTTTACTCAAGGTTTGAGATCCTACCAACTTCTCTTTTGTCTGTTCAATCTCATATAGTAGTAGTAATTTCAAAATAATCATTATTAATGGCAAAATATTTTCATTCTGAGGTGTAAGTATATTTTTTAATTGAAGTACTTCATCAAAAGTTGATTTATTCATAGCTTATTGGACCCAATGTAGTTTAAAATCCATATACAGTGTTATGTAGAAAAAATAATTTAAAAATACATAGAGGGAAATACTGCACTCTAATGCTCACAGTTGTATGCCAATTATCTGGTCCGTTCTTATTGTAACCCCTTCAAATAATGCAAATTTAGTTGCAAAATAACAGCATTAACTATTACTTGAAACCTTTACAATACTTTGTCTTACCCATTACTTGGTGTAGATGAATGGCTATTAATACAAATTATTTAGAGGCACTTTAGAATATTTTCTGAAAGATCCAATCCACAATTACACAAACAGGACTGTGTTGCTTGAAGTACAAGAGAGAATCGGCATTCAAAATAGATTTAATAGTAGTGTGATGATGTACTTCCACTCTTTAGTTTCCATTTAAACTGTTTTTTCAGGAGAATGGCAAATTGCATTTTCCATAAAAGAGCATCACTTGCTCTTTTTTCACGTATCTATTTATTTATTGATAGTAACTTATACACTTATGTTCACAGATTATCTACACTTATAAATAAAACCCGCCTGCAAAGGCACCAACGCACAGCCACTTTAACGCTGATCTTAACCATATCATGCTCTATGAAACTACCAAACCTTCTGCCCATGGTTGTCGTCCCAAAACACACCATTCAATTTCAGGTAGAATTTGCTTTTCTTGGGCTGATTTAGGATTGTGTTGTACTTTTGCTACTGCATAACAAATGGTGAATCAGTTCTTCGGTCAATAGTAAAGGGAACACCAGCACTTTCAAACCACAGATCAAGAGAAAAAATAAGCCATGTGTCTAGATCTTCGTCTGTTTGGCGTCTGTGTTATTTGACATCTCATTGTTTACATATGCCAAATTGTCTTTCGTCATCATTTCAAGCTCGCTCTTTTTCTTATCTTCTGGCTCAAGCTCCATACATTTAGCCTCAATTTCCGCCGGGTCTATGTAGGTGTAGAAGTAAGCCATGAATGCAAAGATGATACTGACGGCCACCAGGAGACATGCGAACAGCACGTATTCTGCCCACTACAACGACACATACACACAGATGAGCTCGTAGCAATACGGATGCCAACAGTAAGTGACATTTGACTAGGACTTTGTCAAAAAAAGAGAGCAGTTCCAGTGGTATACCTGATCTGGAAGTGAGCCTGCCTCAGCCACAATGAGCACAATGATGTTCCCCACAGCAACAGTCAACAGCCAACCAGCCTGGAGGACTGACTTCATATTGCTTGGTGCCTAAAAGGTAACACATTATGAGACAATAAAATAAAATAAAGAGTTAAAGGGATAGTTCACCCAAAAATGAAAATTTGATGTTTATCTGCTTACCCCCAGGGCATCCAAGATGTAGGTGACTTTGTTTCTTCAGTAGAACACAAACGAAGATTTTTAACTCAAACCGTTGCAGTCTGTCAGTCATATAATGTAAGTGAATGGAAATCACGGCTTTGAGAGTCAAAAAAACATACACAAACAAAACCAAAATAAACCCTGCGGCTCGTGACGATACATTGATGTGTAAAGACACGAAACGATCGGTCTGTACAAGAAACTGAATAATAATAATAATAATACATTTTATTTATAATGCGCTTTTCTCAACCCAAAGCGCTACAACAATGTCACATATAAATACAACTTAATCATAATAGACAATTTTAAAAAGGTGGGTTTTCAACAGTTTCTTAAAAGTACTTTGTGTAGGAGCACTTCGAATGTTTAAAGTAAGCGCATTCCATAACCTCGGAGCGGCACGAGAAAAAGCTCTCTGTCCCAGTTTTTAATCTGAAGTGGGGCTGATAGAGAAGAAGAGAATCAGCAGAACGAAGAGGACGAGAAGGCATGTAAGGGGTAACTAAATCACACACATAAGGAGGAGCCAATTCATGCGCAGCTTTATAGCGTCTCTCATCAGTCCCGCCCCCCGGCATCAGCTCAGCGAATCCTGACACCAGCAGACTCTGTGACGTCTACCCTGGAGGACCAACAGTCCTTCACTAGCTTATCAAGAGAACTTCTCAAACTCCTCAAGCTTCCCCTAGTTTCACTTTTCTTTTATAATCTCCTGGAACACTCTTTGGCGTTTGAGTGTATGTGCGTGCGTGCGAGCACTTGTGTGTATGCGTAATAGTGTGTTTGTAATGGAGACTGCTTAAGCAATGGACAAAACGTAGATGTAACTCCTTTGGCTAAGCACAGAGTGAGATGGAGGCAGGTCGTTTTTGCATTATCGTACCCAAGCTTTTGGAAGAATGCATTAAGTGAATGCCATCACAGGGCGAGGAGAACGGCCCGTCGCCGCCGCCTCCACCCTAAACAAAATACAAGATTGTGTGCATGACTCTGAACAAAATGCATGTGTGAAGACGGATGTCTGTCGGAGTGTGTGCGCATCCGAGCCCTGGTGAAGGAGATTGCAGTTCTCACGCTGAAATCTCAGGTAGTCTGCGATGAGCAGACCAGTCATCCAGGAAGACAGAGGGCGCTATGTTTGGATTTGTGTACAGATCTGTGTATATAGTCTCAATTTTACAGACCTTTAAAAGAGATGATGGATTTTTGCAAATGAATCACTGTGTACAGATGGCCAAGAGCTTCTGTAGATATTGTTAGAAACAAAACAAAGGTAAATATTTAAAAAATCAAGCCTCTGAAATGGCCATTACTGAAATGCCTTGCCTTTTTATCAAATGTACATTTTTGGGGGGTGCTCTGTTAATTTTAATAAGAAATTAAAAGGTTTTACTCAAGGTTTGAGATCCTACCAACTTCTCTTTTGTCTGTTCAATCTCATATAGTAGTAGTAATTTCAAAATAATCATTATTAATGGCAAAATATTTTCATTCTGAGGTGTAAGTATATTTTTTAATTGAAGTACTTCATCAAAAGTTGATTTATTCATAGCTTATTGGACCCAATGTAGTTTAAAATCCATATACAGTGTTATGTAGAAAAAATAATTTAAAAATACATAGAGGGAAATACTGCACTCTAATGCTCACAGTTGTATGCCAATTATCTGGTCCGTTCTTATTGTAACCCCTTCAAATAATGCAAATTTAGTTGCAAAATAACAGCATTAACTATTACTTGAAACCTTTACAATACTTTGTCTTACCCATTACTTGGTGTAGATGAATGGCTATTAATACAAATTATTTAGAGGCACTTTAGAATATTTTCTGAAAGATCCAATCCACAATTACACAAACAGGACTGTGTTGCTTGAAGTACAAGAGAGAATCGGCATTCAAAATAGATTTAATAGTAGTGTGATGATGTACTTCCACTCTTTAGTTTCCATTTAAACTGGTTTTTCAGGAGAATGGTAAATTGCATTTTCCATAAAAGAGCATCACTTGCTCTTTTTTCACGTATTTATTTATTTATTGATAGTAACTTATACACTTATGTTCACAGATTATCTACACTTATAAATAAAACCCGCCTGCAAAGGCACCAACGCACAGCCACTTTAACGCTGATCTTAACCATATCATGCTCTATGAAACTACCAAACCTTCTGCCCATGGTTGTCGTCCCAAAACACACCATTCAATTTCAGGTAGAATTTGCTTTTCTTGGGCTGATTTAGGATTGTGTTGTACTTTTGCTACTGCATAACAAATGGTGAATCAGTTCTTCGGTCAATAGTAAAGGGAACACCAGCACTTTCAAACCACAGATCAAGAGAAAAAATAAGCCATGTGTCTAGATCTTCGTCTGTTTGGCGTCTGTGTTATTTGACATCTCATTGTTTACATATGCCAAATTGTCTTTCGTCATCATTTCAAGCTCGCTCTTTTTCTTATCTTCTGGCTCAAGCTCCATACATTTAGCCTCAATTTCCGCCGGGTCTATGTAGGTGTAGAAGTAAGCCATGAATGCAAAGATGATACTGACGGCCACCAGGAGACATGCGAACAGCACGTATTCTGCCCACTACAACGACACATACACACAGATGAGCTCGTAGCAATACGGATGCCAACAGTAAGTGACATTTGACTAGGACTTTGTCAAAAAAAGAGAGCAGTTCCAGTGGTATACCTGATCTGGAAGTGAGCCTGCCTCAGCCACAATGAGCACAATGATGTTCCCCACAGCAACAGTCAACAGCCAACCAGCCTGGAGGACTGACTTCATATTGCTTGGTGCCTAAAAGGTAACACATTATGAGACAATAAAATAAAATAAAGAGTTAAAGGGATAGTTCACCCAAAAATGAAAATTTGATGTTTATCTGCTTACCCCCAGGGCATCCAAGATGTAGGTGACTTTGTTTCTTCAGTAGAACACAAACGAAGATTTTTAACTCAAACCGTTGCAGTCTGTCAGTCATATAATGTAAGTGAATGGAAATCACGGCTTTGAGAGTCAAAAAAACATACACAAACAAAACCAAAATAAACCCTGCGGCTCGTGACGATACATTGATGTGTAAAGACACGAAACGATCGGTCTGTACAAGAAACTGAATAATAATAATAATAATACATTTTATTTATAATGCGCTTTTCTCAACCCAAAGCGCTACAACAATGTCACATATAAATACAACTTAATCATAATAGACAATTTTAAAAAGGTGGGTTTTCAACAGTTTCTTAAAAGTACTTTGTGTAGGAGCACTTCGAATGTTTAAAGTAAGCGCATTCCATAACCTCGGAGCGGCACGAGAAAAAGCTCTCTGTCCCAGTTTTTAATCTGAAGTGGGGCTGATAGAGAAGAAGAGAATCAGCAGAACGAAGAGGACGAGAAGGCATGTAAGGGGTAACTAAATCACACACATAAGGAGGAGCCAATTCATGCGCAGCTTTATAGGTTCAAACAAGCGTTTTAAACTCAATACCTGATTGAACTGGAAGCCAGTGCAAATTACAGAGGACACCACTGATGTGCTGCCGTGAGGCTGTGTGAGTGAGACCACGCGCTGCTGAGTTCTGAATATATTGTAGCTGTTTGATAGATTTTGCTGATAAGCCAATGTAGAGAGAATTGCAGTAATCAATTCTTGAAGTGATAAAAGCATGGCTGAGCCTTTCAATGTCAGGTGTAGAAAGGAAAGGCCTAATCCAACAATATTTCTGAGATGATAAAATGCTGATTTAGTAACACTCCTAATGTGAGCCTCCATTGTCAAATTAACATCAAATATCACAAGGTTACGAGCTTGTATAGACGGCTGTACAGAGCTGTTATCCAATGTCAGATTAAGACTGCTACATTTGCGGATGGCTACTGGTGTACCAATAAGAAGAGCCTCAGTCTTAGAGCTATTTAATCTTAGAAAGTTGTGAAGCATCCATACTTTTATGTCCTGCAAACATTCAGAAAGGATTGCAGAACAAACTGTAACATCGGACTTTGAACTGATGTATATTTGGGTATCGTCAGCACAAAAGTGATACTCAAGACCGTATTTTCTAATGATTTGCCCCAGAGGAAGCATATAAATGCTAAATAATATGGGCCCCAAAACAGAACCCTGAGGGACACCATATTGGACCTGACCAATATCTGATTTGTTATTTCCCAGAGCAACAAACTGTGATCTATTTGTAAGGTAGGATCTGAACCATTCAAGCACAGTGCCAGAGATACCAAGCCAACTCTTTAATCTATCAAGTAATATAGAGTGACATACTGTGTCAAATGCTGCACTCAGGTCTAATAAAACCAAAATGGTAGAGGCACCAGAGTCAGCTGAGACCAGAAGGTCGTTCATAACGTGAACCAAGGCGGTCTCAGTACTGTGCCCCGTCCTAAACCCAGATTGAACAGTATTTATATAGTTTTTTTTTAGCTCTGATTCACCGCAATGTCCGAACTGTCCTGAGCGGCGGCGCATACTCCTGAGCACGTTCTCAACAGCTGTGTGTGACGCGTCTTCTTCTTGCTTGCTTTACGGCAGATCGCAGACTTATAAGTCAGATCTATCTCTCAAATGGACCATTGACACTCTATCAACAATCTCAATTAGGAGTGTCAATGGTCCATTTGAGAGATAGGTGGCAGTAATGCACATAAGTCTGCGATAAAAAAAAACGATATAAATACTGTTCAGTTTCTTGCACAGACCAATCGTTTCGTGTCTTTACACATCAATGTATCTTCACGAGCTGCAGGGTTTAATTTGGTTTTGTTTGTGTATGTTTTTTGACTCTCAAAGCCGTGATTCTCATTCACTTCCATTATATGACTGACAGACTGCAACCGTTTGAGTAAAAAATCTTTGTTTGTGTTCTACTGAAGAAACAAAGTCACCTACATCTTGGATACCCTGGGGGTAAGCAGATAAACATCAAATTTTCATTTTTGGGTGAACTATCCCTTTAATTAGAATTTTTCTGAATGTCGCGTTCCAGAGAGCATGCCATACCTGTGAATAGGAGAAGTCCAGGCCAGTGACAGAGAAGACCACTTCTCCGCAGGTCATCAAAAAGTACTGAATAACCTGCCAGGCCATGTGGGTGCCGTTCGGTTCAATGTCCTGTATTGGTTTAATGTTCTCGGTACACTGCACACACATTCAGATGGAATTATTTGTGATTTCAACTTTTGAGAAAGGCAACAAACTAGCTATATGAAATTATTTAAACACAACTCATTTTGTGATCCCAAAAGATCCAAGACTCCAGGATATATATATCCACAATTCATTTTGTGAGTCCAAAAATGTAAAAAGCAAAAAATTCAATTTGACTTTAGTTTACATCTTGCATGTTTAAATTAAGTTGAAATATTTTATTAATATTAATATCAATTTTATTAATAATAACACTCATTTAAGTCATCCTGATGCCATCTCATAAGTTTGCTGAGGCCCCCTAGTGGGCCCCTGCATGACAACTACTGGTTTAAATGGATACTTCACCCAAAATTAAAATTCTTTCCATATACTCAACCTCATATCAATTCAAACCTGTTTAACATACTGTCTTCTGTGGAACACAAGTGATGATATTTTGAAAAAAAAAAACAATGAAAGTCAGTGGTATCCAGTGTTGTTCTGGACACAGATGACTTCCATTCAATGGCTCAAAATAGTTGAGACACTTAAATATATTCTTTTGAGTTCTGCAGATGGAATAAAATGCATACAGGTTTGGAAAAACATGGGGGCAAGTAAATGAGCATATAGGATGATCTATTTCTAGGTCTAACTATTCCTAATAGTGTTCATAGTATTATCTGTGACTGTAAAAACAAGACTTACAGATTCTCCAAAAGTAAAGGTGCTTGGGATCAGGACTGTGTAGGAGCTTCCGAAGCCCAGCTGCAGGATATAGTGGCACGTCTGTCCTTCTCCGTTCACAATAGTAAAATTGGCTCTGGGAAGGGAGATATCAAATCAGATCAGTGTAGAAAAGCAGCCTAGCAAAGGGTTTGCACTGTATTTTCATCTGTACAAACAACTGTACGACAGCTTTCATGTATATGTATAACTATATATTTGTAACAAAACAAAACACATACTTGCCGTGAGTAACATTGAGGTAGCCTGATGCTTGTAAGGGAGCGATGGGACCCAGATTATCAGACTTTATTGTGAAATTCAGATTAGATCTAAAGCCATTCACAAACCTACAACATATATTTGCTGTTAATGAATTTGAATAGGCATTCCATTTTCAAAACATCTCTTGCAATTCAATTTGAAAAGAATATAAAAAAAAAAAATCAGAAATGCACTAACCTGATCGCATTCATGCCTTGATTGGGTTTCTCAGTTATGTCATTGAGCTGTAAATGAAACAATTAATCAGAACACACTCAACGTTACAGTTATGTATCCTCATGACATTAATGTTACCAAAATAATCAGCACATTTATTTAAGATATTGAATTAAATATCAAGATTTAAAAAAATTAATGCAGCACTCACAGTCTGTAGCATTCCATCAGCATTTATCAAAACCGTGTGCCTTGTTTCCTTCTGGAGATAAGCTGTAGCGTTTCTTCCTCCAGCAGAGACTGTAACGTTCTCAGTGTCCAGTGTCATATATTCATTAGAGGACTGGGGGAGCAAAACAACATCAAAGATGATTATGTACCGTTTACATACAGCACATATGCATAATGTTTCCTCAGCTACAAGTATTTTTATGTCCCAGGGATTGATTCTTATGAAAATTAACAGTTTTCTTTCCAAAATGCACAACTGTTAGAAAGTGTCAGGTCAGTGTTAGGGTCAGTCAGATTTTTTAAAGTTTTTGAAAAAAGTCTCTTTTGCTCACCAAGACTGCATTTGTTTGATCAAAAATACAGTAAAACCGTAACAATGTCAAATATCACTACATTTTAAAATAACGTTTATATTTTTATATTTTAAAATGATTCATTAAAGTGATTAATTTATCTCTGTGATGACAAAGCTGAATTTTCATGAATTGTCTTGACGTTTTTTTTTATCATGCCTTTTTTTTTTTT